GTGGGTACAATCACTGTGCTGTGGATGGAAGCTTTGAAGGAACCGATGGCTGAGGAGTGGCATGGAAGGAAAGGAAAGAATGAGGAAAATGATCTGCTGTTTGCCACTGAGCATCTCTGACTTGCAAGAGTACACTGCAGACTAAAGACGTTTCTTATAAAACAACAAACCTCCTCCCTGTATCACTCCTGCTCATTATTCCAGGCAGTACTGGGCCAGCCACACCGGGTGCATTTCTTTTTTTCTTCCTTATTTCTGTGTGGCTGACGTGATGGGGAAGAAAGTGGAACTCATGATCCAGAGCTGGAGTTTCGTTATCCACAGACCTTTTCTGCATCATCTGCCTCTTCAGCTGGACATGTGAACAATGATGGTGTAGATGCTGCTGCTACTGCAGGGGTCCCGCCTGTTTTATTACCCTGCCCACCACACCCCAGCGCGGAGGGACAGCCAGAGAGGCGCCATGTACAGAATCGCATCTATTTCTGCTTTGTTTTCTGACTCAGAACCCTGCCCCCAATGACTATGACAACGGTGACAAGAACAACAACAACAAAAAAAGGGCAAATGCATTTTTTACATTTCTTGATAATTTCCAAAGCAATGTATCATTGCTTTCTTTAGACTGACGCCAATATAACAGTTGTATGGGTCTCAGCCAGGCTCCTGTGTCTTTTCTGCCTGATAGTTTCAGATTGCTGCATGAAAAGTATGCGTGTTTGCACACAGACACAATCGTACGAGGTGACGGCACCGCGAGCCCGTGGGGTTGTTCACCTGTGTCATAGATGAAGTTGGAGGCCTTGCTTCGTACGTGTAGACGAGAAACCCCAATCCGTTGGTCCAGTGAGCTGCAGTGAAGCAGCCCTACTGAGACAGAACTGAGTATCCTAAGATATATGCATGGTCCCGTTGTGACCATCCCCGTGGCAGGGGCAGGGTGGGGGAGAGGAACACTGAATGGGGAATTTGGAGCACAGCAAAGTTGATAAAATAAGTAAATCCAGTCAGGATCTTCTGGTAGCAGTGAGATTTTATCAGTTCCCATAATGAAAACTGTAGTGCATATAAAGAAAGTATTCCAGGCTGACAGAAGCCCCAGTTCCCATCTTGCTAACACGAGGATGGAGGGCACTAGAGGCCGACAAGGTTGTATTGATGCAAAGAATGTAGAAAACAGAACTGGGCCCAGAAAAAA